ACTGTGTGAGGTGGGGGAACATCACTCCCCTGCCTTGCCTTCACCCAAACCTGCATTTTCCAGCTGGACCTCCTGTGAACAGGACCCCTTCTCCCTGGTTTTGCTGCTTCCCTTACTGACAGAGGCCATAAGAGCATTCAGCTCACACAGATGAAACCTAAATTCAGAAGAGCACAGTCTGTCAGACCGAATAAAACTGGAGGCTGTCTCAGTGCATAAGTGCAGCTGTACCTTTGCCCAATTTACAGTACATTTTGAAATGTACTTAAATAACAGTCTTTTTCACTGCAGTCAGTTATAATGGTCATTAGAGTGCTCTGCATCAGCTTGATGCGCTCATGAGCCCGAATAGCAGCAATTTATTACCCACGGGGCCATGCAGCTTCAATCTCCAGTGGCACAATGAGTTTTCTTTCATTACTATAGAGACATTTCGGTGCGTTCATTCACCTTCCCTGAAGACAGCCAGAGTGCCCCAGTGAGAATTAAGTACACAAATTTTCCACACTCTCTGATACACCTACCAATTTTTTCCGCTGCTATTTCGTAGGATTTAGAAACCATTTTCTGAAAAAAAAAAAAAAATTCCTGAAACCTGACAGTTTTGTCAAGGGCTGACTCGCTCCTTCTCTACACCTTCCTGCCCCCAAGAAGCCGAGTAACCCAGTTCTGTCTTTCCTCATGGAAACAAACCCAAGAAGGATACTCTGGAAAGCAAACATCTCTTTTATTCCCTGAGTGAGATAAGGGTCACCAATGCAGCAGAGCAGCTTCTTACCCAAGAGATACATGTCTTTTGACATTGTTGATGACTCAGGGCTCCTGAAAAGCAATGCTAAATGGTCTCTGCAGTCTCATAGGCAATACCAGCATACCAAGTGCTGGTATGACATGCTTTTCTGAGTCATCCACTTTTTTTTTTTGAAAACTCTGCCTTCATTTGAACTATTTATTTAAGACACATTCTGACTGTAGGCAATATATAAATGGATTTATTTTTCTTTAGTCAGGCTGTTCCATAATCAAAATCATAGTCCTCCATTTTTAAGCTTTTCAAGCAAAATACAGAGTACATGAGGCTCACCAGTAGTATTGCAAAAAGATCCATAGATCCTTCCAACAAATCAGTGAATACCTGAGTGACTTACAAAAAGGGAAAATAGTTTTAAGACCATTGCAACTCACTGAAGTTTTATTCTTTAGGACTGCGAGTTGACTGAATAATGAGTCAGTCATAAAGTTTGTGGCCTGTGCTAAAATCAGACAGGGATGAGTTGCCTGCTCTAATGTGCTCATTAGGGACAGAGTAAGTACATCCTGGTATGCTTGAATAGAACAATTATTTTCTGCAGCAATTGAAATGAATTATCAAATGCCAAGTGAAAGGCTCTGTTCTGAGTCATCATTCATCAGGAAAGATTTGTTCACAGCACTATAAAAGCTTGCAGGATCAAACGTTTATATAGACTGCATTATTTGTGCCAGCAATCAACACCTGCAGCTCTTTCACACACCTAAATGAAGTTTGCTTTCATCTTTGCTGCCAGCACTCACAATATACTTCAAATTATTGTTATCAAGATGTAAGTACGGTACTGTTGTATTCACTGGTATTTGCTTCACCTTTTTTGAATTTTCCGAAGTGGTAAAGTTATGAAAAAACATTGGACTTGGCAGCATGGACCCGCTGGGAACCTCAGCCAATGCACCCTCAGGAGCCCAGACAGGAGCCCACGTCCAAGACACCACCCACAGCCAACTGCAGACCTGTTTGTGGTAGGCTAGGAAATCCCAAGGAAATAAAAACCATCTAATTCTATTCAAAGGTTCAAGTGGCCTTGCCCAGCCCTTAAAGGTTGCAGGGCAAGCTGTAGGATGTGTGGTGTTGGAAAACAAAATTAAACTTACCCTACTAGAGGGCCCTTATTTCCAAAAAACAAAAAGAAACAGCAAAAGCAGGCTAAAAATGAATCATATCAAATTTACCATAGTTCTTCTGGATTCCTTCTTATTTAGCTGAAGACAACGTTGATATTACTGCTGAACTTATAAGCTTTATTAAGTAAATTACATTAAAAGATAAGAAGCTATGGAAAGTAAAATTAAAAAGCATGGGGGGGGTTACATTATACTAATAGAATTAAATCCTGGGAATTAACATGCACAGTTTAAAATTTTATCAAGTACAAACCATCAGACTTGTTAATTCATTTCTTCTAGGCACAGAATTGCAATTAAACCAAAATTATCTCCTTGGTACACAGTGGATGAACTACCAGAACTAAAATGTTGGATCAGTTTGCACCATTTTTTGCACGTGAGGCAGACACAGGTTTGCACAGCTTTGACTGAGACACTGTTCAATACTAAATAAACTATATATTAAAAGCACGTACACATGTTACAGTTCTGCTAGGAATGCTTTCAAGTCACATCCCCAATGGTTACCTGCTTCAGGCAAGAGCAGGCAGGCACCCCAGAGCCTCCTTGTCAACCTGGGCCACACCTCAAGTGGCCTCTCACTTGGTTTTAGCACCATGTGGTCATCCCATGAGCCTCAATCCTCTGCTGTGAATCTGCTGCAACACTTTGCCTCCAGGTCTTGCACTGCCCTGAGGGCCCTCTCGCTGTCTCAGGCTGTTCTTGGATTTTCCACCTTAACGTGGCCACTTTTTTCATGCTTTGCCTTACACTGCCTTGAATGCTGATTTGCTGGCTGGTTCTCTCTCGCTTTTGTGGGGTGCTTTTACAGATTCCAGAACTTTCTTTTGGAATTAAAGACTCAATATCTGAGCACTGCTCTTTTTTGCTACAAATCTTCATTTAGGAAACAGTTTTGAGGTAAAGCTTTGTTCCCACAGCTGTGGGCTCCTCACTTAGCACTTAGGATGATGGCATGCTCTACCTAAGGGGCTCTCTCAGCTCTGCTCTAACAGGATGAAATGAGGGAGAGCAGAAGCAGGTAAGGAAAAGAAAAGAATCAGGTTTCCCCCCTTGTTTTGTAAAGATTTTCCTGATTCCCTGTCATTCGTTCTACTAAAAACTAGTTCTCAGCAGAGAACTCCGAATCTTTCAAAATATCTTGGAATTTAAAGATGACAATAATTACATAATTAAAGACGAAAATAATTACATAAAAATGTTTGAGGTGAGAAGGCAGTTTCAGAAATTTTAGAGAGAAAATGAAGGGGAGTTAAGGTGGTAAGGGGCTAGAGAAGCACTTTCCCCCAAAAACCTTTCCTGTCCTGCCTCCTCTGGTTGCTGTTCGTGGGAATGGGAATTACGTGGCTTAAAATGGTCGTGGTCCTGATATAGAACCACATGCTATGGCTGAAAAACTAAAGCTTCTGGGTGGCTGAAACCTCCACAGCCGCGGAGCCCGGGCCCGGCACTTGGAGATGGAAGCGGCCCCGCAGCTGGAGGCGGTGGGACAGCCGCGCTGCGAGCCGAGCCGAGCCGGGGCCGGGGCAGGGAGAGGGGAGCCGGGAGAGGGGAACCGGGAACCGGAGCCGGGAGCCGGGGCCAGGAGCCGGGAGAGGGGAGAGAGGAGCCGGGAACCGGGAGAGGGAAGTCGGGGCCGGGAGAGGAGAAAGGGGAGCCGGGAATCGGAGCCGGGAGCCAGAGCCGGGAAGAGGGGAGCAGGAGCCGGGGCCGGGAGAGGGGAAAGGGGAGCCGGGAGCCGGGGCCGAGAGAGGGGAGCAGGAATCGGAGCCGGGAGAGGGGAAAGGGGATCAGGAGCAGGAGCCGGAGCAGGAGCCAGAGCCGGGAGAGGGGAAAGGGGAGCGGGAGCCGGAGCCAGGAGAGGGGAGAGGGGAGCAGAAGCCGGAGCGGAGCAGGAGCCGGGAGAGGGGAAAGGGGAGAGGAGCAGGAGCCGGAGACGGGAAAGGGGAAAGGGAAGCCGGAGCCGGGAGAGGGGAGAGGGGAGAGGGGAGAGGGGAGAGGAGCCGGGAGAGGGGAGAGGGGAGCAGGAGCAGGAGCCGGAGCAGGAGCAGGAGCAGGAGCAGGAGCAGGAGCAGGGAGAGGGAAGAGGGGAGCAGGAGCAGGAGGAGCAGGAGGAGGAGGAGCAGGAGCAGGAGCCGGGAGAGGGGAGAGGGGAGAGAGGAGCAGGAGCAGGAGCCGGGAGAGGGAAGAGGGGAGCAGGAGCAGGAGCCGGAGCAGCAGTCGGAGCAGCAGTCGGAGCAGGAGCCGGGAGAGGGGAAAAGGGAGCAGGAGCCGGAGCAGGAGCCGGAGCAGGAGCAGCAGTCGGAGCAGCAGTTGGAGCAGCAGTCGGAGCAGGAGCCGGAGCCGGGAGAGGGGAAAAGGGAGCAGGAGCCGGAGCAGGAGCCGGGAGAGGGGAAAAGGGAGCAGCAGCCGGAGCAGGAGCCGGGAGAGGGGAAAAGGGAGCAGCAGCCGGAGCAGGAGCCGGAG